ATATAATGCTGTTTAAAAAACACTTAAAAATATAATAGTATCGGGATAATCGAAGTGATGGCATGAAAATTCCTCTTACTTCATACGTGTTACTTCCAGAGGGTACAAACTCTGGGGCACTGGCTGAAAGCTTTGATGATTTGACCATAGAATCCACTTCATTACTCCTTCTGGAGTCAGACGCACTGTTGGCATTTGTACTTTGTTGGGGTTTGCTCTGTCTTTTGAAATCTGAAAGCGAAAGACGAAAGATGTTCTCAGTCTTTGTAATATGTGACACAACTCATCCCATAAGGCCAAATTTGATGGAGATATTCTATACTGTTGCAGTTGTAAACTATTATTATTACAAGTATTTATGGCAGGAGGATGCTGTATGTGGGATTTGCTCAAATTAACTACTGTGCCCATGTTCGTCATAATGAAATAACATCACAACACTGGCACATGTGTGTTTTTAAATAGTTTTTGGACAGCAATGGAAATCTTTGGCACAGAGGAATAAGTCCTATCAAACTTTGGCTACACAAATAACACTTGTTAGTAGGATTGTTTTGGTTTTAGTATTTTCATAGTTTTCCTTTATAGTCTTCTATGGGTGACAATTAAAATAAATATTGATTTACTTTATTTCCAGAGGGAAATCGGTTTGCAGTGTGGGCACAAAACTGAACATACACATTAAAAACATACACAGTAAAAAAAGAAACCAACATAGTCTGCACATGGTTGATAACCACAGTAAACAGTATGTAATACTACACAGTGCTAATAATGTACAATAATTCGATTTGAATGTGTCTTGATGATCTTGCTGTGTGTGTGCACCTGCCCCCACTAATGATGCAGCTCATACATGTGTTACAGAGTGTGATGGCTGATGGGATAAAGGAGTTTCTGGCTCTGTTACTTTTGCAACTCGATCATGTCGACCTGAAAGGGCCTGAAGCTCAGCAAACAAGGGGTGCTAAGACCGGCCATGCCACACTTCTGGTTTTATTTTGTGACACAGGCCTTTAGAAAAAAGGATTACAAACTAATTTCTAATCGTCCAAATCCTGGACAGGAGGAGTTTACAGCTGATAACCAAATAATAAGGTTTTGGTACATCTACACCGTGAACTCTCTCACTAATACTTTGCTACCCTGTTCCTTAACGCCAGCTATCTAAGGTTAACTTACTAGAGGAACTGATTCTTCCTCTTTGCTCTACGTTGCTTAACTTACTCAGCGTAACATTAAGTTAGCTACAGCGAATGTTAGCTCTACAAACTAAAACTTCAGCTGGATAGGACAGCCTTCACCGTGGCACGTGACCAGTAGACTACGTGATATCTGAGTGGGAGCTTTATTTAGATGTTGCGTTACCTCACATGAAATAACAATCCAACAGGTGCATGTCACAACGCCAACACGATAACGTTAGCAAACATGAATGTTATTTAGCAGCTAAGCTAGCTAACGGCAGCTCCAGCTTGAAACCAGGTTAAACAGGTACCTTAAAACCCCTAACGTTATCCGTTTCTAAAGGGATCTGTCAGCTGGGGGGAGGTTCTAGGCAAACACAGTTTTAGGCTTTCAGTGTGCATGTCTGCGAGTGGCATTTAACGTTAACGTTAACATGAAATCGATTCTGAAAGTAGCTAACGTTAGCTCAGTTGTCGTTGTGGTTAGCTACCTACCTCCACCACCAATGTCCGTGCTAATGTTGTTCTCGGAAAAGGGCGGGGATGTTCGCGGCTGTCTCAACGGTTCCCTTTGGTTGAAAAGCGTGGTTTTGGTGTCACCATCCTCGGTGGTGCCCATGAGCCCGGGGTCTGCTGGAAGATTTCGGGTTCTCCCTGCTCCGGGAGCTCGGTCGAAGTTCTCGTTCATGACTGCTCGTTTTTCAGCCTCGACTCTCAAAGCAGCATAAAAAAAAAAAAAAAAATCTGTTCACCGCACCAACTGCTTTTTCTTCTGCGTAGCAGCAATTTCTTGTGTTTTATCACAACAACACCCGCCCTATCTCTCTTTCATGATGGCTTTTTCTCTAACTTTTTTGGCCACTTCCTTTGACAACAACAAACACAATGAATTTAGGGCACTGCCTGACATCAAAATGAAAGCGCTGCCCTCTAGCGGCGTGGAGTTGATGCGCAGCCATGAACGTGCACGTGCAGCTTCTACAATACAGCCAGGTATCATCAGTGGTGGTAAAATCATTCAGATTATTTACTTAAGTAAATGTAGAAATACCAAAACATAACAATATACATACATATTCCTTTAGAGGTAAAAGTCCTGGTTTCATAGCTTTACTCAAGTAATGTACAAACATTTGATGGGGTAGTCTAAATTCGTTGGGAGAGGAAGTTTAACTTTTTCTCATTCCAGATTCATTCTCACCTTCTGAGATTTATTACTAAATAATAAGTCAATGGAGGGTCTGATGAAATGAATAATGCTAGGAAATGTCTTGTTTATTAAATTAAATATGAGATTCAGCCCCTCTCTCCACCCTAGTCATTTTTGAACAGTCCCTAAAGGTAAGTACAAGTATGAAAAGTTAAAGCACTGACCATGCAAGTGATAATTTGAACTGTTTTGCTACTGGGTAGTTTATTATACAGTAAGTATGTAGTATTTCATTAGATGAATTTATGTCAAAAGTAAAGTACAATATTTCTCCCGGACATGTGGTGAAACAGAAAGATTTGGTTCCCAACTATCATTGAACATAAGGTGCTGTGGGTGGGATTTTAGAAAAACTGAGATCATGAGTCCACATTCCCCCAGTCAAACCCCAGCCCCCTATGAAAATCTGTTCACATCACATGCAGTAATTCAAATACTTAATCTCTTTATATTATTTTATTTTAACTTATTTTGCCTTCAGTCACAGTCAGAAACAAAACAAAACCTTGTGTGACATTTTTTATTTCATCTTAACTCCTGCTCAGGTTGTGTAAAATCACCAGGCATTTCCAGAAAAGAATATCGAGGACATGACCTCAGTCTGCAGTGTTAGCTACTGCCCTGTTTGTGGGTTTAGGCAGTGGTTGTCTGCACAACACAAGCACATAATTATGGACCTGTTAAAGCGCATGTGTGGTTGAGTGGGTTATATAACCTCATATTGATCTAAAATATTTGCCAAAGCACCAAGGGGTGAGTAATTGCATTTAACTGATATATCAAACACACATTTATGCATCACAATGAAGATTCTGGACCAGAAGTGGCTCTTTCCCTGAGCTCACTCAGTAGCTGCCCACTACAAACATGTGTTGCACCAGACCTCTCGGTCTAAGTATTCATTAGTTGTTTTAGCCTCCAGTCATTTTCCACTTGTTTCCCAAAGCTGGATCACATTATGCCACAAAGAATTCCCGTGCCAGAAATGCAGAGACCCACTTTGATAAAAGATTGCTGGCCCTATTTTCTGTTATTGCTGTTTTTCCCCTCATGCCAGTGTCTTGGAGGGAGTTCAAACATTCACAAGTCTCGGGAATGCACAAGATGACAAATAACTAGGATTGCTGTTGTGGTGGGGGTCACGCGCAAACTCATCACAACAGGTTTTAAATGTAAAAACGTGTAGTTTCATCAGTACACATTATGTAGGTTATATCCTAAGTGGTTTACTGACTGAATCATTAGGTTACATGTGGAGCAACTGAAGACAAACAAAAGAAAATACTGTGCTACTGTATGTAGTGTATGTGGTTTCATACCAGAGACCGACATGTTATCATGGATTCTTTCTTGTAACCTCCCTTTTAAAAATATTGGTAAAGAAAAGCTAAAATCAAAACACTCGAAGTCTTGCACGGGGCCTAAAAGAAAATGCCTCTAAAATATTTCATTTAAGTTCATTCAGAAATTGCACCCATAGTAAGTTCTTCTAACTTACATCTTAGGTAACAGCTAAAAGGTTATCCTACTGTTGGGAATCTGGCCTCAGAGGTGCAACAGCCACATCATATTGCACAATCACAGCAGAGAAAATGTCATATAGTGCTGTTTATGGTGCAGAGATGGCCATGGAATAGTATTCCATATGTTAACAATGGCCCTGACTGTCATGGTAGATTGCACTGCAGCATTCCTCAGTGTTAATCATTCGTTGCGGTTGTTCCTTAAACGACCATTAAAGGGCAACATACTGCAGCTTAAAGCGTGCTCTGGATTCCTATAATTCAAATCGCTGTAGTTGCTTTTGCTTCTTCAAATCTGGAGTCACATTCACGGACCATCTTGGACGAATTTGGGAACGAAGACAACGGCCAGACTCTGTCTGTCTCACACCTTCCTGTCTTCATCTACTCTCCCAATTTTTCATGCCTTGGCTGAGATGGATGTTAAGAGAGGCGGGATAAGAGAACATGAGGCCCGGAAGCCTGTGGTGTTAATGTTCTCCCTGTGGTCTTTTGATCTGGCATCAAGGCAGCTGTCATTGCTTAGTGTGTTTGTAGATGATTACTGAGGGAAGTGGGTGGTCAGACACAGGTCATATCTCTCCCTCATTCACATTTCTGCCTCCATATACATTCAAGGTCCTTCAGAAGCCTATTGGCAGTAGTGATGCAGACCAATATGACAATCATGTCTTTGCCAGTATTATCAGCAGGTGTTTTAGCAGCTATCTTTACTATTCCTCCAGTCGGGGAATGTTGCTGCTCCACAGTAATGGGGTGATATTAGGAAATGAAGTCAGCCTCTACAGGCCATACCAGGGAAGTAACCTCCCTCCCATTTTGTTGTGGTCGGTCTGTGTGTTTCCCGTTTGTTTGGGAACTAATCATTAGTGCAATGGTTGCCACATGGAATATCTGGCGAGGCATTAATGGTTGCCTTTTGTCCCCTATTACCTCAGAGGGCCAGATAAGAATAGACTTATCATGACCTGAATGTTCCCCAGGGGTTCTCACTACTTGTAAGAAAACCTTTCTTTTAAAGTAATTTTTTGGTGTATTGAGGAAGTAAGAAGACAACATTGCAGAGGAGAAAATGGTATTTTATTTTCACATAATATAGTTCCTATAAAAAGTAAAGAATGCAAAGGATGCTTGCCTTGTAAGTGTTCCCCTTCAGTTAAATATTTCACAAAATAAATAAATCATTACAATACAGTCAAAACACAGTGGTTAAGTATCAAACATTTGCTTTAAATGTGTTGTATCCTCTATTATTTAATGCTGTCGTGATAAACTGATTGATCATGTCCCTCGTCTTATCCGTTTTCTATGTCTCCTTTTTTATGTTGCAGATCATCTGATGTCTCACAGGATAATATACATTATAAATAACATCTTGAGATACTTCTGCATCTCTGTGTTGCCACCACATACTCTGGTTGCAAACAGTTTGGCACAGAAAAAAGGATAAATAGTACATCCCGTGCCACAGACAACACAGATATCATCTTCCAAATAAAATACACGATCTCAGTCAAAGTCAGGAGCAGAGACAACATTTTTGTGTAACAGTGTTAGTGCCTTGTTCCCAAATGAGAGATTTTTCAGTGAATGTCTTAATTTTTTTTACAGCTTTTTCAGTATTGAAAACCTCTCTGTCCAGTGCTGCATATCCTCCTTCTCCAGTTAAGTTCTCCAGTTCACACCATAATTGGAAGGAAGTGGGTTGCCGTGTTCTTCCTGCGGGTTTTCTTCCCTCTCAGTGGCTTCCCGTGGACATTCAGACCCACAAACATCTGCCTCTTCTTGTTCCTCCACTTGGCTGACGCATATGTGTTGTAGCCGTTCTCCTCAATCCGCTCCTTCAGGGTGCAGTCGACACCGAACTCTCTCTGGAAAAACAGTAGGTATCATGTTTTGACATGTGAGTTTAAGGCAAGACGTACATAACTTTTTTGTGCAATCCATTTTGGTTGCATGTGGTACCTTGTTTATTTGTTTGGCTCCTTAATCTACATTGCATGTTTTGGCTTTGTGTTTCTTGTGTAGAAACTAGTGTGCATTTTGAAAAGTGCACATTTCTCCTTTAGTTCCTATTAAGAAATATAAGTTAAGGAAAAGAAAAATCATGTGTACTGCCCTGGTTGTGATTCACAGTTGATCCAGCAGTTGGAGAAGTGAAGATAAGAACAGGACTTTGATAAGGTCAAAATTACACTATCTCTGTCTCTGGAGCATCCAGATTGACCCCTGACCCGGATACTAACCGCTCCGTACAGCTCTCCCTTCCTGCTGATAGCCAGATAGTAGTTGCTGTTCAGCCCTTTGATGGCCACCACTCCCACGTCCACCGATGTGATTTCCAGAATACCTGGGAATCAGAAAAAGATGGTTGCATCAATGTGCGTCAACATTCAGAGTGAGCATAAGAGCTCCTAACAATCGACACTCAGCAGTCACAGGTCAAACACTTCAGAGTCTGGATACAGATTGGGATAAATCCACACATTTTCACAGACACTGGGAGTAACTAATGGATAAAAATATATTGCAGGCTTATTTCAGGGCATTTACATGTGGGAACACACAGTGTGGGAATCATGTGTAAGGTCATTATTTCAGTTATTCTTTGAGCACATTTTCACTTGAGTGATATTATAAAGTGACTTTACAACATACACCTGTGTAGCAGATTCCATCTGTGCAGGCCATTTAGTTTGAAAATTAATAGGTAGATACTTAGGCAGAGATTCTCAGGATGTTTATGTTCTGTTAGGTATTTAGGTTTCCACATCCTAATATAAGTAATTCAGGTTTCTAATAGGCTATTAGACGGGTTAATTTATACCCCAGTTAACAAGGGCAACCTTTTGCTGCAGACATCTGTGGTTATTTGTGTGGTCTGAGTATGAGAGGTCAGAGGGATATAAACTAGTCCTTTGACTACAGAACCCACTTGTTTCGTCTTATTCTGATGTGTGTGTGTGTATGTGTGTGTGTGTGTGTGTGTGTGTGTGTGAACCTCCCCAGTTCCCATGGCATGTTTGATTTCATGCCTCCCTCCCTGACTTCCTTTCCCCATTTCCTGTGAGCTGTCGTTATTTTATCTCGATAAGTACACATATGTGTACGCACACACATTCAGACACACACTCCAGCGTGGGGGTGTGAACTACAGAGAGTCGACGACATCCTTTGATCAGATCAGCAGCCCCTCCTCTGTTCGATGACTGTTTGTGTGGCAGCCTGCTCTACTGTCAGACCCACTCTCCGGTGGGTGGGGGGCCTCTGAAGCGGCCCACCTCATACATGAGTGGACAGCTGAGGATGCAGGTGTGCCCCCAAAGAACAATCCCTCTCTTAAAAGTACAGCAGCTTCTCTCCTCGTCCGTGAGGTCTTGACTGTATCAGTTTCTAGTTCAAACAGTGCCACCTCGGGGCAGTGAGGTCTGAAGTGGCAAGGCGATGGTGGGGACTGTGACACAACGGCCATTGAAGATCTGAGAGGAGCTGATTTCTGTATGGGATCAGGTGTCAGGTACGGAGTGAGGATGTAAGACAATCTATGGCAGTCTCTGGCTGCTCTGTAAACATGGGAGGGATGAAAGGAAGGAGAACAGAGGAGGACAGAGGAGCCATGACAGTGAGACTGGGGGTGGAGTGAGGATTAGTAAGGCTGTAATGATCACTGATCAAAGTCAGCCACCGGAGGCAGAGGCGAGACAGGTTGTATACACACACACACACACACACACACACACAGTTAATATTGTAGCAGGTGAATGTGCACTTGCACACAACTTGCACACTCAACCTGGCTGTGAAACTACAAAATCTGTTTGCTGGTGAATGCTTACTTGGGCCCTTAGTTGAGCTATTGGCTGTGAGTATGGGAAAATACCATAACTAAAACCATGCTGTTCCTCCAGATTACAATATTAAGCTGTAAATGTGACAACAATGCTTTGTGTGAGGTAAATTTTTGAAGCCACAAATGTGAAACCAGAATCAGAATCAGCTTTGTTGCCAAGCAGGTTTACACTAACAAGGACGTAGCCTAAAGCCAGCCAGGTTCAGCTGTGTACGGAGACAGCAGTTTTTCTTTAGTATGCTTTTTCTTAATGTGTGGCTTATTTGATACGCTCTGTTTGGAGTTACAGCAGTAAATGGTGCGTTGGTTGTGGAATGGAGGCACACAATGCCAGTGTGAATTAAAGGTGGTTTTTCCACAGTGGGATGCCAAAAAACCATGTGCTTTGCAGCTTGTATTGTTATTCATTCTCACTCTTACTTTGCTCCATTTAAAGTTAATGTTTGGGGCCTGCACAAAGTAACATTAGAACGGATAAATAAAATCTTTTTTCTTAAATCCAAATTTTGATTGGTGCCATTCCCACACAGAAAAATGGTGTGGAGTGAGGCGTAAATCAGGATATATAGTAATAACATTTGATAAGGACCACACTGAGTGTATTTACATTGAAGGGATATCCATCCTCTTCCCCACCTCAGAGAAAAGCTACACATGTCTCCTCAAACCTCCATAAGAGCAACATTTGCACGCACGCACGCACGCACACACACATAGGATCCTGACAGGCTCACCCACACCATCACAGCTGTGGATAATTAACCAAACCTCTTTTACCACCAAGTTTTTACCTTTACTTAGCAATATTTCACTTGTCACTCAGAGCTACTAGTTTTCTATAAATTTAAGAGGACTCAGCTGTGAATCACAGATATTTTAATTACATGCTCAGGCCATGCAGATAGCTACTTAGCTGACTTCAACATAATCTCCCTCCCTTTCTCTCTGCCTCTCTGTAACCTCAGCACAGGCTCCCAGCGGGTTGGAAAGCCATGTGGGACAGTTTTGCGCTGGCATCCCCATAAATCTGTGGGAGGCTGGATACTGGCTCTTTAACAGACAGTGAGCCGAGTCCTCGCAGGGCCACAGGCAGCACCCAAAAGCCAAAGCCTCCGCATCCCATACACCTCTTACACAAAGCATGAGAAATGTATGCATTCATGTGTCGTGAAAATTTGCCTTGCCATTTCTGGCTCAGGAAAATGCACGTCGTCCTCCACTCATCCAGAAAAAATGTGATATTTTGTCACTTCAAGGGACCCATCGAAGGTCTACAAAGGACATCAGCCCTGGGATCATGTCTAGCCCCAGGGGCCAGAGCAGACTGAAGCTGCTGTTGTGTAGTATCCTTTACTGTGAGAACCTGATATGAGGGCACATAATCCACACACAGTGTCTCCAGACCCCCTCAGGACACAGCTTTTTTGATGGCACCACCATTGATACCGAAGACGCACGGCTTTGATGTGGCCACAATGATGTTCTGCCATGTCATTCATGAACTTGTACGACTAGAGAGTCCCCTGTGCAGTGCTCCCTTTCACCTCCTCCCACAGTGCTCAATCTGCACTAACTCAACCTGACTCTTGAAAAAGGCAACACACTCCTAACGTTGTGAGTCCATAAAACAATGAAGACAGAGGGGTGAATCATCTTCCAAACATATATAAAGTTTAGAGTGAATTCACTCACCACTGTGATGACCAACTGAGTCAGACTTCCTCACACCACTTCAGTTTTACAACTTAAAAGAAACCACTACCAAAGGTGACAGTTGAAGCATTACGATGTAATAAAGTCAGGAAATAAAGTTGCCTCTGTCATGAACATGTCAAAACAAACATCTCCCATGACATTCTGCTTCCCCGTGCCATTTCCCCTCAGTCACTTTGATTGAATGTGTGGTTTAGCTCTCCCAAGAGGAAGGTTAAAACGTTCCATATATACTCCCTACGGGGTAGGTGGAGAAAGATGGAGAAAACAAGCATGTGGCAGGGAAGCGATGTATGTGCGAGTGGGTAATAAGCAAGCACATGTGGTGCTGGTGGCTGCTATATGATCACACACCCACTGGAGCATGTGAGTGCTCGCTGGCTGATAGGCACACACATGTTGCTCGGCTGGGAGACTGATGAGAACGCTATTTTACTGACTGATATTCAGAAACATACAACAGGTAATCACTTTAAAAATGTGTTTCTCTGAGCAAGCATGTCAAACTGCTTTAAACAAATGTCTGATCTGTCACAGAGGGTATGTAATTTGCTTGACACTGGCTGGCAAGACGGGCAATCTGAGTGGGAGAGTGAGAGAGACACAGACAAAAAGAGGCAGAAAGAGTCTAAAAGCATCAATGAAACTGACATCCATATCCTCCACTCACTCCCCCAAAGCCCTGTTCTTCTGTTGTTGTTATCAGTGCTGTTTACCCTGGGCTGTGAAGACTGCCTGATAATGGCCGGGTTATCTGCCCCTGGTCCTTTTTAAGCCATCTGAGAGCTACCATCATTGTGTTGAGTGTTTGGACAGGAGAGATATCAGTGGGATGTCTGGTTTAAAACAAAAAGACGACTCTAATCGGGGATTGCTTCATTCAAATGACCAACTAATGGACAGGCTGGCAGTCTCTTGAAATGAACAAACAACTGTTTTTAAAGAAATTTAAATTCAATGTTTATGCCAATTTGTATGTTTACATATCCAATTTATACATTTGTGTGGGTATTATGTGACATTTTTTTGGGTAAGACAAGAATTTTTCTCAAAGAACACTTGATTTTTTTTCTCAAATTACAAATAACCAAAAATTTAAAATGCCTTGAAATCAAAACAAGGTCAGAAGTTTTGGTTGCAGAGGTTAAAAGCCTTGATTTTACATTGATCCTTGGTTCGGGCCACTTTTAAGTTTTGCAGCCACCACAGAGACTCAGATCATCTTCGGGGTCTGATTCCTTTTTGTGGTCTATTTTTGTGCATTCATTTATTCAGTGAGTTACTTACTGAGGGGGTCATCCTTGCTCTTGGTCCCATTGACCTTTCCATTCTTATCGATCCTCAGGAAAAACTTCTGGAAAGAGAACAGCTTCCTCTTACGGATGTCCCCTTGGAGATGATTGTAGCTGCGCACATGCCTACCCTGCGATCCCCCAGTCCCACCCAGTGGGCCCCCAGTGGCCCTGGACCTAGAGACAAACTCAGTCTCCGAAATGTTCAGTGGGACCCTCAGAGTTCGTGGGTTGGCGAGCCTCAGTCTGTCTCTGCTCAGCTGATGGCAGGCTGCCCCAGGTAAGAATGAGAAAACCACAAGGGCAACCAGGAGAGGCAAAGACAGGGAGGAAAGCAGTGTTGGCCTTAGTCTGGAGCTGGTCCCAGAACCAAAACGAGCCCCTAACCCAGCCCTGGAGAAGGACGAGGCAGAGGCAGCCTTACTCCTTCCAGCAGCCCATCTGATCATGGTAGTGTGCTGTGTGGAGGACTAGAGGCAACCTCAGAGCCTGGGACATGCTGCTGGGGGCGAGGATAGGCTGGGAGGGCAGGGAGGAGAACCCTCCACAGTCCAGACTGGGCGAGATGGTCCCAGTGCAAAGTCCAAATTATTTAGCACCTACATGAAATTCTTCAATATCTAGAATTATTTTTGATAGTGTGATGACTGTTCAGTAAGTCACTGTGTTTCACGCTGATATTCCACTGACCTCTCTTCTCCACTGTGGAAGGGTTTCAGGCTGATGATCAGAAAGTCTGCAGTCCAAGGTTGTTTTGGAAAAAAAAATCAGTCTGAATGAACAAAGATTACATAAAAACAATCCACCAATTAGTGTGTGTATTCCAGTAATAAACCCGTTTTTTTTCACATTCCTTCTGTTTTCTAATTCTTTCTAAATAGTTTGTGAAATTTTGACTGTTATTGTTGGCTGCTCCAGTAAGACGCTTTAATTTCCAGGCAGTTGCTCAATTTAAGTAAAAAAAAAAAAAAAAAAAAGTAAAGGAGAAAACAATCTTAAAATTTAAAGTTTACTGATGTCCAGTTAGAAAGTTTGCCATGTGTAAAATTCCTTAGTTCCAGCGAAATAAAAAAAAAGTGCACCACAAAATCTACCTGTCCAACAGCCGCTACACTTCACATGTGCAGGAAAGCATTTTCAGATTCCACTCTGAGGAGTAAACAGGATTCAAGACTTAAGACTTAAAGAGGAACGTTGGTAAATCCATGCGGATATCAGATAATCATCTGTCTTGTTCTGTTGCTCCTCTCGCTCTCTTCTCATCTCTCTCTCTCTCTCTCTCTCTCTCTACCCCTAAAAGACTCCACCTTCACACAGCATCTAGGTAACGGTCTGGGGAGGTCTTTCTGTCCGTCTCAGGGTTGAGTCAGAGTTGTCCGCCTCCTGTTCGTTAGGTCCTTGATATGAGGAGTCCTGGTGATCACAGAAAATGACTGTGTGTTGTGTGTAGCTGTGTGACTCTGTTAGTTATTTGATCCCTCCCTACTTTTCTCCACTTCCCCTCTCACATATGGGAGCAAGTACTGCTCTGCATGTGTGTGTGTGGGTATGTGTGTGTGTGTGTGTGTGCATGCTTACATACAAGCAAATCTAACTTATGAGAGTGGGTGCAGAGGTGATGGCAGGGTTTATCTAAATAGATGCAGCAGAACAAGAACAAGCAGTGGGGTAGTATTGGATCAATCGCTATGGTCTTGTTTTTACTGTGTATGGTTGAAAAAGAACGGGGTCCAGTTGTATTTTTCACTCAGTAGGTTACTTTTTGTCAGTCAGTACATCCATGTGCCTATATGGTTGAGCATTAAAGTGTCACAAAAATGAAATGGACTTATTACTCATTAAGATGTGACAATCTGACAAGTGGTCATCCTCCTGTGTCTCTTCAGATAAAAATCATATTACGTTACTATTGCCGGTTCCAGTCTGGATGCTGGCTTATCACGACCATCTTGCTAAGGCCTCTCTCTTTCCCTCAAGGCACTTTATCGTAGTGTGTTATCTCTCCTGCAGCGCTGTAATGCAATGAAGGTCTCCAGTTTCACTCATCAGACCCCTGCCTCCCTCTGTGACTCAGGTGTCTGAGTGGCCCTCAGCCAACGACACTGACTTTTACAAATGCATCATTTGCTCGTCAAGGCAAGGCAGGCACAGGATGGAAAATATCATAGTGAATGTGCAAAATATTAGTCACTGTTCTCTTGGAGTACACTCATGAGGCAAATCCAGATGAAGACATGATCTCTAATTGATTTTTCCTGTTAAATCAACACAGATTACACATGAGGAGGTGTAGAGAAGCTGTTTGTTGAAGTTGAAACAGTTTGAAAAACACAGGGATAGTGCAATAGTACCAGTGAGAAAGTTTTTAACAATCCACTACGATAAACAAAACTTGTGCTGGCAGTCTTATCTATTCTCCCTGATCTTTGTGTCTTTAGTACCAGGGTCTGTCCTGTTCCTTTCCTTTCCTTAAGTCCCAGATTTTAGTGCCTGCTTTAATGTCTGTCAACGATCTACAGCCAGAGCAGCAGTCTGGTCTTAACTCTGTATCTGGGGATACAAACAAAGTAATCTTATCAGCGCTTCCTTTGTGGTGTCCCTTCCCACTGTGATAACCAGAGTCAGTGCAGGGGAAACAGAGCTGGGAGGAGCAAGCATCATTTACAGTATAGTGATTATTGTAGCAGCAATAATAGTGGAGCAATGTTTTTTTTCCAGATTTATTTGCATCGCTTAAAATGGCCTCCTCCTAACCTAAATGATATTGAACTTGTCCACTATGAGTTCTTTAATTTAAATTTGATGGTGGTGAAAAGTAGCCTAAGAAGGTACATTTACTCATGTCCGGTACTTAAGTACAATTTTGCGGCGCTTGTACTTTACTTGAGTATTTCCATTTAATGCTGCACTTTTAATTTAACTAAATCTATTGGATAGCTTATTGCTACTTTGCAGATTTAGGTTAATAATAAAAAATATAAATCAACTCATAAATGATAATATATTATTATAGGTTAAGCTACCCAGCGGTTTATAAAGTAATAAAGTAAATTAGCTCCACCTTTACCAGCTGCAACATTAAACATTTATTACTATTATAATTCAGTAATATTTTAAATATGGTTCTGAAACAGGCCAATGATTCGACATAATGAGAACTTTATTTAAGTTTTGTATTTCTAATTCATCTTCCACCACTGAAATTTGAAGGTAGATATCTTCAACTTCATTTAAAGGTTTATAACTTCTTCTTTACTGTGTTGTGATTAAATAAGAACAATATGGGTTTTTCTTTTCTAATTTGACACATGACAGTCTGCAATTTGTTTGCAACCTTGTACTGTAAAAAATGCTAAACACAGTAGTACCAAATTCACAGATTTCCATTTTAAGTCATGTTGTATAATTATTTTTCTTGTTTAAAAAAACTTCAACCAATTTCCGTAGCACTTTTTAAAGTAATTTAAGTGGCAAATCTTGAAATAAATTATAGTGTCCCCCAGAGGAAAGAAAGTCCATGAAATCATATTTTGGGATAAATACTAGATTAAATACCTTGTTATGAAATTTAGCAAACTGCATCCTTGCTTAGTATTATTTGCTCACTGGACAGTTAAATCCTAAAGCACAATACTTACCATAAGCAGGTTGAGAGCTGAAGCACGGTGTGGTAAACTTCAGGAATGCATTTTGAAATTATTTCACATTCACAGCTCATCTGTTCTAGCCACTGACACAGTGATGTCCTCTGCAGGTGCCTCAGAGGGATGTAGGCCTGCAATGATGCTGACAGACTCACAAGATTTGCAGGATTTCTTCAGAAGCCAAGGAGCAAATTCTTTGTAAACGAAGCCGTGCGTGTGTGCAATATAAGTGAGATTTGCAGGGTCTGGAGATAGTCTCATCTCCCTCCCTGCTTTACAACGTTAGCATTTAGTGTATCTTTATAGATCTAGCTCCCTGAATTGCATTTCAAAGTTCAAAACAATAGGCAATAGAACAGACAAATGTGCTTCTGATCCCTCCCTACAGGCTGTGGCTCTAGCTGGGTTTGTATGCTATTCTCAAAAACATAATTATAATAAAGGCAATGAAAAGTCATGTGCCGGAAATTTATACGTGTCAGTGGAGATTTGATTTCACACAGTGCCAATTGCCAAAAAGAAAAATGAATCAAGGTGAAACACACATGGAAATATTCCTTTTATTCCTTTTAGTGTGTAATGTAAGTGAGTTTCACAAAAGCAAACTCTTGTTTTTCCCTATTTGGCAAAATAATAAAAGCCTTCAGATGTTGTTTGTATTGCACTACTACAAGTTAGGAACACGGAAAAACAAACAGACAAACATTCGATCATTGGTGAACTTTTCAGGACAGTTTTAGAAGAATCAGTGTTGCTAATAGTAACGATATCACCATGTGGGAGCAAGATGGACATCTCCAAACAATGCTAGTTGCTTGTAGAAAAATTTGGTTAAGGCAAAAGTTGGGGTGAAGCACGAAGACTTATTGGAGGCAACTTAATAAAGCCACCTGTATTTGTATTATTTATTTATTCAATAGATTTATGCATTTGTTAAAATATTTTAATTTTGAATGTTTGACCATTATTTAAAATTCTTGTTGTATTTTATTTTATTATATTTTGTGCGCGCCTGTAAGGCACCTTGTAACCGTGGTAATAAAAGGCACTATAGAAATCAAGTTTACTGATCTCTTGTCAATGCTGTTGTACGACGTCACAGAAATAAAACAACCATTTTTGGTCAAATTACAGATGGTAATTGGTGAGCCCCCCCCTTTTTACTTTGACAGCGTACATTCTTTGGTGATCTATCACAAAACCAACTGTGATTTCTGTTGACGAAGTTTGGGTTTCTCTGGCTGTCATTGCTTTCGCTTCCTGTAAAGTCATGATGTCATCGTTGGTCATGCTAACTAGGCGTGTTAGTTCTTTTTAAACTGCTGCTGCCTGCCAGCATAAAATGGATCACTTCCTCTGTGTCATGATTTTATTTCCTTGATAAAGACTTGCTTGACCCCAAATGTTTAAAGTAAAGGACAATAGCAAGTGTTGGATTGTTACTGAAACTTTTATTCTGACAGCAGGTATTTTGCAAGCAGAATCTCACATTTGAAGCTCTCGTTTAAAGGTACAATGTGTAAGAGCTGGGACTCCTGTTCATAATCTGAGTCTGCGGACAGCGAAGACACTGCGGTCAGGAGAGGTGTCGAGCCGATAGTGGAGCGAGAGGAAGCTCTGGCATCAGAAAGGCAGCGACAGCAAGAATATTTTTACATCTACATTCTGTGAATTAAAGGTTTATCTTGACCAAACCAGAGTTGGTGATTGTTGGAACAGTGCAAACACTAACCCACAACTGTCGGGGTCAGTTTTATTTTGTTACTGTCGAGTTTGAATGAAACGTGTTTTAGATGAGTTTACAAAGCAATTAGTTCGGTGAAAGAGAGAGACTTGAATTCAGAAAGTGCAAGGTTGTATTTTTCTGTTTGATAAGGAAACTAGACTAGGTGTAAGAATATTTTTTTTTCTGACATTTTCTTTGTTTCCTTTGTCTATTTGGTAGAAAAAGGAAAAGCTAAGAGAGCTTGGGTAACATAGCGAACTCGCCACTCCCACATATCTCTCAGCTGAACTAACGGTAGTGATATACCATTGATAATGTTAGTTGAAATTTTGATTCGGACCATATCTTACACAGAGTACGTAAGTGTAGCATACCAAGTGAATACATATCCAATTTAGTTTTGATTTGTTTGCTTAATCCTGATCCTTGTGGCGTCAGGTGGATGCAGCCCTGAGTGCCATGCAATCTGTCTGCTCCACATACGGTACCACATTAGCAAGTTGAACTGTGGATATTCAACTTATTCATGTGCCTCTTATTTAACTTGACCTCATTGTAAGTATATTGGCCCCTCCCGTTTGGTACACTATTATTAAGCAGATGTTTTACAAAGAAAAGCACCTCACTCTGAGTTACTTAAACTCAAATCCATATGTGGTCTATGAGGGAGTCAAACGCGCTAGTCACAAACAACCAAACTGACCTATGGGAACCATGTGTGAGTCTGTCTGCATTCCCTGGGGCCCACAGTGTGTGTACTGGGTCAGAGGAGGCCAAGGCTTTAATAAAGAAACAGGCCTGGTACAAGGATGCCAGTGCGACTGCCGGGGGACATGCAACCTGATGGGGTCCAGATGAGAGCCACCAGACTGGACTTCTTTCTCCAAACCAACAGCCGGTCGGTGCATGGATTACGTTTCACTGCCTTCTTCCTTGAACCTCTCTCTGGGTTTACTCTGGGATTTGAGAGGTAAACTGTCAGATTAAAGTAACATTCTCCTTTAATGGTACTTTAAAGCTTTTCATAGATCAAAGAACATTGTGTTATCT